GACACGTGCACTGGAGAGGTTAAGAATCGAACCGCCAGGAGGCAACCCACTCTACCTCTTAAGCCAGAGCCACCCTACAAATATGGTTGACAAATCAAAGGCTGACAAAGTTTTCCTGCTTGAGTGCTCATCATAAACCAGGCATGTCCAAAGTCCGGCCCGGGGGCCAATTGCGGCCCGTGTTCAAATTTTCACCGGCCCGCAGCTTCTGTCATAAAATCAATAATATGTGGCCCACCAGCACTGTTGACCACAGTATAAAATACACGTGTACAAAAAAAGCTATTTTACATTTCACCAGAAGATAGTATAACTAAAGTATAGTATAACTAAAATAGTTCATTTGTATTTAATGTTAATGGTTCAAAGAATGTCAGGCTGAATGGTCGGCCCCCACACATTTTCACCTTACCAAATCTGGCCCTCTTTGCAAAAAGTTTGGACACCCCTGTCTTAGGGACTGGTATGATAATGGATTGTTTGAAAATATTGTTTTTTTTTTTTTGCAGTGTCAGATTTAATAAAAAAAATAAATCACACAATTGTCCCTGTGACCAAAATCTGTCATATTCCTCTGGGAACCTACATTAATATAATATTCCTTATATGTTTCACCTTTATTTCTAAGCTGCATGGTTAAGAGCATCCTCTTGGCCAACAAGCTCCAGGTACAGTTGCTGTCAAACCTCGCATAGAGGTTGTTGAGGCTGTTTGGGAGGGTGGTGTCCTGGGGGGCTGTGTTTGTTGATTTGTTCCTGTAGTTTGTGACTGCCTGGATTCCCTGCTACATACTGCACATGTTGTTATTCATATAGTAGCTCTCCAGTTTTTGGAAGTATGCTCTCTTTGCCAGTCCCAAGCCCGGATAAATAGAGAGGGTTGTGTCAGGAAGGGCATCCAGCATAAAAACATGCCAAATTTAAACATGCGAATGTGAAGTTTCAGCAAACTTCTTCTCGGGTCCAGATGATGGAAAGAATATTCAGTCACACAAATACCAAAGTGCACTTAATTACCTTTTATTCACAGATGCGCATCTGGAGATCATACAGCAAGCAGCAGCCAAGATGATCTCAAGTTGCATCTCTAACACTGTGTATTTTATACTATTTCTTCCCGCCTCCTTACACATTCCTTTACATAAAGCTGGAAAGTACCAAACTTGCCCAAAAATATTCATGCAGGATGCAGGTGGCATTTGTCAATACTTTTCCCTCAAAACATACTCCTTAATTCCAAAGTAGTACATCCTGTTATTTAAGAAGCACGCACACACATGATATAGTGAACATCCTGTTATAATGAAGAAACTTAAATTTATCCTTACAAGTTCATTAA